AGTGTCCGGATTACCGAAAATAATTACATATTTCGCATTGTTTTGCTAGCAGTAACTTACAATATTCTCTACTCCAACTGTTCGAACAGAACTGCTCACATAAAACACACGAAATGTGTGTCATCGAGTAAGAATTGGATGGGGACATTCACATCGCGACATGCTTCTGTGCAAGCAGACACGTAACGGGGACGGGTACCTTGACGGGAGGTGCGTCGGACTACTGAGCATGTCGGATTAAAAAACGTCGGACTATAGAGGGACAACTGTATTTATCTCAAATTATGCGTGCTCAAACGGTGACAGAATGGATAAAACCATTGAACATCAGTGGCGTGCCGTCATTAGAAGCGGTGGATGCGCCGCTTCTCTTGTATTTTCTAAAAAATAAATACAGTACATATTAATTTTAATTATATGAAAATAATCGCACAATATTTTATTATAACTGCATTATGCATCTTATTACAAATTTCTATACTACACGTGAAAAAAAAGATAAGATTGCTATTGTATGTTCGAATATTAGTGGCGGAGTAGCAGAGTGGTCCGCTGTATTGTCTGCATCCAAAAAGCCAGATTCGCACACGCGCTTTACAGAGCACCAACCTAATCCGGCTTAACCGGTGGAATCCTAGGACCTCGGGTGGCTGCTACACGTATAACGCATCCAATTCTATCCAGGACCGGTTCCGTGCTGTTAGCCGCCCGCCCGCTAGATATTTGGCCACCCTCGCCCGATTACGCGAATCGCGAGTAGATTTATAACTTAACCCAACAGATAAGAATTTACCTGCATGTTTTTATGATAGTTTTCTGTATAGTTGGCAGGAGTTTAAAAAATCCATTAAAATATTTGATATTTTTATTCCGCCCTCCCATTTTATATTACTCACGGATTTCAATGTTAAACCAGTGATATTACGATTTCGTATGTCCCATTTTTAAGGGCATGTAGAAAAAAAACGTGTACAATTCTTGTATAATGTTAAAAATTAACAGTTACTTTCACAGCATCATTTATAACTAAATTTAACGAATGAGAGATATGCACGAGGTACAGAAAATGCTGTAGAATTCATTTTCCTTAAATTTACGATTCATGTATCCGTTTGTCATAAAAATTTGTATTTCCACTTTTTTCCCGAGACTACGAATATTCGAGTACAAAGTAACCGGTTTCGACTTATTTCTACTTAAGAAGTAGTTAAATAATTAAGCGATTAGGGAATTGGGGACATAAACAAAACCCTGATGAAAGAGCCGGAATATTACTTAAACAAAAGCTTAACCGAACCAATCTATAGCCGAGTACAGTGGGGACTGATTTCTTCGAAATACTGTATTAGATGTAATAAAGACAGAAATTTTTCCAGTTCGACGAGAGTGACCGAAAAGTTGTAAATTTTGGAAATTTCCGTGGACAACACCTGGTCCTAAAACGAATTAGTTAGAAAACAAACGACGGACAATCTATTAAGTTTAACATATTTAGACTTTTACAGCTATGGTGAGAAACGTTTAAAATTTACAAGAACCCTGTCGCGTCTTTTGAGGTATATTAGTGATGCGACAAAAGAAACATTTGACATTGCCAAATCCCGAGGGTATCGGCACCCTCGGGATTTGGCAGCCCGCGTGCATGTACAGTACACACCGCACACCTAGCAGGACCGTCTCTGATTCCACTCGTAGGGAGCTATTTGACTAAGTGGTTAAGATTTAAAGAGTAAAGAATATTTTATGTTATTTTTATGTACGTTTCATTACAAAGCTATATTTAATTATAATTTTCTTTAAAAGTATATTCATACAATTGAAGAATGTTTTGTACCAGGTATGTATATCCACCACACATTTTATTTCACCAAGTAAGTTTTTATAATTTTATTTTTAATTTTAGCCCTTATATCGTGGCTAGCGATTCGGAATGTAATTGCGATATTGAAAATTTATTTTAAAAAAGTTTTGGCTCGAGATCATATAATGAAAAAGAAAACATTATTAAAAGAGAAAGGCCAATGCCTAAGTTAAATATAAACGCTTCAATAAAAAAATTTGTTCGACATTTTCACGATAAAATGGCTCCGTAAATGCATAAAAATGCAAAAATTGTTTTGTTGGCTTACCTACTATTTTCAATTGAAATTAGTGTGTGGAATAAGAATGGCTTTGACAATTTAGCTGGCAAAAGACACGAAAAATTGTCGATTCTTTCGTATTTGAAGCAATTTGGAAATCGAAGCGGAATAGAATTTAACATTAGTAAATAATATAAAATAAATACTGAAAATTATAACGAGATAGTTACGGTTAATAGATATATTATATCTAAATAAATAGATGTTATATGTTTTTATCGAAGCGAGAATTGGCATTTAGAGGGAATATGGATTATATTGGATCTAATAACAGAGGTAATTATATTGATCTTGTTTATTTATTAAGTACGTCAGATAAATAATCTATTAAAGATACATTTAGAGAAAGAAGTGATTGCCCCTGGAAGTCGGCTTCTTATAGAAACACAGTTTCCCTATCATCAAATGCCACGGCACGCCATTGTTGAACATTGATTGTGGGTTCGCACCTCTTCAATGGCCCGGCTATGTGAAGTTTTCTGAATTTACTTTACGTTAATAATAACTAAATAGCGGCCAGTTTCCTGTAAAAGACCTCCCGGGATGCATCTCCTCGGTAGACCGATTTGCCCTATACGAATAAAGCAAACCAAACTTCAAATTAAATCCATATTTACCAACAAAAATCTTATCTTAACAGCTAAATTTCAACCGTAAAAACTGAAATTGAAGTAAGTTATTTGCTACAAATCGAAATTGGCCTGAACCGCTCTTAAGTTAAATATCTCGTGAAGGGTCGCCCGTAGGGGTGTGGTTCATTAGACATTTATTGATCGCAAAGGGGGGTCTACCGGTAGGCAGGTTCCCCCCTCGATACGTGACCTGGATTTGTACCTCTCTAATCCTTTCCCTTATCCGGACATTCAACAGAACTCAAGTTCCCTCGAAAACTTTATCTCTTTATCAATAATAAAACTATATAAAATAATGACCGTCCATTGAAGTTCAATTTTTCCCTTCCCAACGACCTGATGGTCAAGCGGTCAAGGTCAACCAACCGCTCTGTGGAGACACGTGGTCGAATCCGGACGGGTCGAAAAAGCCCCAAAATTTTTTTTGGGGGTGGTCCGTCCCTAACCACCCGACCGCCCCATTGTTGGCCTGGCCGATCACATAATGGGCTCGCTAAAAATTGGCCATCTTAGCACTCACAGGGCGGAAAGAGTTTAAAAAAAAAACTCGTAACTCCTCTTCTAGTGTGGACGTCATTTATGGAGTGCCCCCAAAATACCAACTCAACAGAGGCTAGCACTGTTCCTCCAGTCTAACTACTCCACCCCCACTCGTTGGTCCAGTCCAAGAAAGGTCTCACCCCTTCTCCATCGTGCCCTCTTTCTCTCTTTGTTTTTCTGTAATTCCACGAAACGCTCCTCACCACCCGAGGGAAAGAATTAGATAAGAAAGTTATAGTAACGAGAAAGAACAAAGAACAAAGAAAAATATTCTAAAACTATAATTAAATTAATATGCGTAATGTCACAGCATAATTTGCGGGAAAAGTTTGAAAGAAGATTGAATTTATTGCCTTAAATATAAAGAAAAGGCTCACGAAACTTGCATCGAAATCGATCCATCAAATAATTATTCTGCCAGGTTAAAAACACTTAAGCCATTGTTATTAATTAATAAGCATTTTCTATGGTAAACACCCCGCATCTTTTCCATTTGCCAAAAATAGAAGCTAAAGTTTTTGTATAATTAATATTTAAATGATTAAGAGATGTTTCTATTTTTTAAATTAATTAATATTATTAAAGAAGTTCTAAAAGTTATTTTCACTTTGAAAATAAACGTTTTTCAGTTGTTATTTTATATTTTGTGGGTTTTATTTAAATATTCTTCTCCCACGTTCCTTACACATTGAAGATCAGTAATGTTGCCTGCCACAAACAAAATCAAAGGAGTTCCTCCAAAAAAGTGAGAATAAGTTTATATAAATTTAATCTACAAATTAATTAAACATACTTTTTAAATGTAGTACACTATAGGCATGAATTTTAATAAGATATTCTTATATTTCTTAAGATGGTTCCTCTCTTTATCAACTGATAAACTATTGAAAGTCATCAGACCTTTCTAAATATTTAAAACTGTAGAATTGATTTAATACATTATATACAGTATAAACTAATTATAAAAGAATTATATTTAAAAATTTGTTTTATTTTATTTTCAGAGATGTGTTTAATTGTTTAGAAAAGTGTGTAGTGTTAGAAAAATATTCCATACCTGACAAATTAAGAAAGATTGTTAACAATAATATAAAGAAGTGGGAATCAATTACTGAAGAAGAAGCAGTTTTGGTAGATTCTATTAGGTAAGAATTTTTTACTTAATCTGCTTTTTATACATATTAAATTCAATAGTTTCTATTTAACTATTTTTTCTTTCATTACTTAATTACTTTTCATAACATGAATAATCTCCACATTTCCTATCTTAACATTTTATCTACTAACATAGAATTGATTTATTTTTATTTATAATAATGTAATCGTTATCCGGTTTTATTTAATATGAAAAACCATTCATTATTAATTCAGTTTTTCAAAAATTTCTATTATTATACTGGTGATAGAATTTACTGGTGATTTAACATTTACCTTTGAACATTCAGTTTAAGTATAAACATAAATATATCAATGCGTGTATCAAATAGCATCAATTCTTTGCAAGTAATGTACTATAAAACCAAGATATGAATCTTTTGAAAAATTTGTACATTCTTACTGTTTATGCTGGCATGTTTAGACATTTTTAGTCTGAGAAAATTCTCCAAAACAAGGATTTCATTTATAAGATGAGTATAAATTGTAAGTTTTAGTGCAGAAAAGTAAATAAATGGAATAGCACTCCTAACAATTGATATGTGCTACTTTCCATAACTCTAGCTGGCTATCCTACTATTTTAACTGAAAGTTGTGTTTACTGATACAAATGACAGAGTATATGTAAGACATACTCTGGTGTTCTACTATCACATGTAGTATTAATGTATTGTCTCATGGCTGGCTTTGTGCCCGTGTAGGCGCGTACACCCACGTCACCATCTGTATATATACACTTATACAACTATGTACTTATCCCATATGGCTGGCTCTGTGCCCGTGTCAATACGCACACCAGTTTGTCACCATTTGTACTCATCCTTAAACTGGTTTTACACTTGTAAATATCTCTTTGATTTATTAATAAAAGGCTTTCAAATATGTAATGGTATTGTCATAATACTAGGCTGTGTAAAATTTTTTAATGGATTGGATTGTTTGTTTATTAGTCAAGAGTTTCTGGGCCATACTGGGCCAAGCAATAGTAAAAATCCAAATAATGGTCTATATATGGATACTGGTATACTTTCTTACATTTTATTGGAAGTGTTAAATTTGGAATGGCTATTATATATCAAATGTACTGGTAAACAAAGTTCTTATTATACAGATATTATACAGATTTCTTAGTGGTTGCTTAGTGTCCTGTGTAGAGCCTGTTGCCCATATCTCTCAATAACTTATACAGTTAACACAAAAAAGTTATCGTTAATAATGTACTTTTGTCATAGGATATCGTATTCTGTAATGTTACTTCAGTTCTAACTTACATAATGTGATAATATTTTATTTTTGAGGGTTAATTTGTATGGTGGGTATGTATTAATGTATAATGAATAATTTATAAAGATCAAAACAATTTTTTAGTAATCAACAATTATATTAATAAATTTGTTAAAAGTATTTTATGAATTTTACCAAATTATTTTAAGACTAATCTTATTTAAATAGGAAATGCATGAATCATGACATCAATTCCAATTCATATAGTGTGTACTTTAGTTTTTTATTGTACTGTGAAGAAATTCAATTGGAACAGGATATTAAAAAGTACAGCATGACCAATTCAACAATGACATACCTTCGCGAAGATAAAGTATTTTCAGTTGAGGTAAATAACTTTTTATTTCTATTTATTTATCAGTACAGAATAATATATTATTTGTGATATTTGGCTGTTTTATTTTAATTATAACAAATAATACAGTTTCAACATTATTGTTATTAATCTAAAATAACATCATAAATAGCAATGGATATAAAAGAGATATTAAATTATAGAAAGATGAAAAATAAAAGTAATGGAGTTTTAAGTTATGAAATTTTGATAAAGTGCTGTAAGATTTACTGCTGATGACAAATAGAACAATGCCACCTTGTGAATAACAAAGAAAAATAAATATAAAAACATGAATTTCATCTCATTATGCATAGTCTAAATTAACAAAAATGTTTTTCCCAGAATGTGTTAACTGCTTGAGAGTAAGGATTAACATAGAGCAAGTAAGTGAAATGCATCAAACTTAACTTCTTCCTTACAAAAGTCAGAAAATTTTAAAATCAGAGAGGTCATCTGTCAAGTTGAATTTAATCAAACATGCAATAAAATCAGAATTAAATTACATTGTCTTTTAAAATTCAAATAATTGAAATGAGCCACAATTATTTAAGATCTTTGTAAATCAATAATTGAATTTGCTGTATCTTTTAAAATCTGGAAGATAATTTTTAGCCATAATAAGAGGATTTCTGAATTATTTATATTGTTTACAGATATTTATAGAATTATTTTGAAAACAAAACTTTTCAAATAAAGAACTTAGCTGATGACCTTTTAGTTAATTAAGTGGGATCTTATATGGAGAATCAATTCCTTTTCCAGATTTTTATGTTGTTTTTATTATTATTACTAGTGAAATAACAACATGTTTTTATTGGTTTTACTAAAAATAAATAGGCCTAATTAAGTAAAGGAAGTCTGAAATTCTATGCATAGTGTATACCAAGGAACTTTTAAGACATAAAATTGCTTAATGAAGCCTATCTGAATGTCCTTCACTTCTTCAGTTCAATTAAAATCCCAAACATACAACATAAAGATATAAAAACACTTTGTTCAGTAGAAAATATTTTGAATTAAAGGTAATAGATGAAACTGAATAAATCAACTACAGAGTTCCTTCAAAAGTGACAGAAGTGTATTATCAAGTCGAGGAGATAGATAACTCTTTCAGGATAAACTAACAAACATTTTCACATATTTCATTTATACTATTAACAACTAAATTCTAAAACTGTTTTTCACCAACTAGGATTGATTTCATTTAATATAGAATTTATCCAACTCTGGGAATCAATACAGTACTTGTTCTTGCAATAAAATCACAAATCAACAAAACTCTATCAAACTCAAGAATGAGGTTCTGAAATACAGGTAACCCCTGTATAACACAGCACTTCTATAGCACGGATTTGCTTTAACACGGTTCGAGAATTGGTACCATCCCCTGTATAACACGGTACTTTTATAGCACGGATTCACCCTGACACGGGTTGAGAATTGGGTAAACCCTTGTACAACAGGAAATGTAATAAATTTTTACATACTTAACTAATAATAGTTCACGAAAATTATTATTTTTGTGAACTATTAGTACTTAAGTATGTAAATTTTCTCTTTACGCCTTCTGCCGAATGTTGCCAGATCGTGACGCTTCTGCTTCTGATGTTGCCGAATGTTTTTCCCTTATTCCATACTTGCTTTATTCTTCATAAGTGCTTAGCACCATATAAGGAAATTTATAAAGACCTTTTAACTAGAAGCAAGCAATCTAAAATTACATACATTTTGCAAAAGGTAAAGCATGGATCTGAAGATAATGCAGAAAAATGCTCAGAGGATAAGGATAACTTGCCAAAAAGAAAATGCTCTCGGTTAATTAATAGTGTTTTTAGTGATGACGAAGAAAATATTGTTTAATTTATATTAATATGTATCACTTAAAAAAATTTTAATGAAGATATTTATCTTAATTATGAAAATATACTAGCATGTTTTTTAATTTTTGGAACCTAACCCTCCTTTTTGTATTAGTTCTTTGTTTTGTATAACATGGATTTGCATAACACGCCAATTTTTTGGAACGTAACTACCGTGTTATACGAGGGTTACCTGTATTTTTATGTAGACCTAAATTAAAACAAAAATAATTTTTTTTGAGTTAACATTTTAAATGAATGTTTTTAATTCATAAACTGCCTGCATCTGACAATAAAATAACCTTATTTTCATAGTTTTCAGCTTCCTGAAAGACTATAAAATCATTGAAATTTAAATTACTAACAAAGTCATACACAATTTCAATATATATTTAAATTAATTAAATTAAACCTCATCTTTATTAAGTATGCTTCTGTTCAATTATTGATTTAGAAGTACATCAGATGCAATACGCTCTCACTATTTTGAACCAATTATTGTTCAGGATTGTTTGGATTAATGAAAAGTTTAGGATTTACTTAGTTCTGTAAATCCTAAACAGGAAGTCAGAAAGTAGTAAAGATAAAGACATTTAAGAAATTTTAAAATATTTATTGTTAAGTTCAATATTGTAACATGTGTCAGGTGTATGGATGTTAGCAATGTTGATGGACAATCCACAGCTTTGTCACACGTGTCAGGTGGATGAGGTAATAGTATCCCTAAGAATGCGGGGGAGATTGTCCTGCCTATAGAGGGAGAAATTGTGGGCTGCTTTGTGGTGTATCGAGTCAGTGCTGATCGGGGAGCTAACCAGAGTGGGTAGCTGTGTGGCTGGTCAGGAACCAGTATTGTAATTATCAAATAATTGTCGGGTGCCGGAGTGTTGCTCGATTGTGGAGTGCCAGAGAGTCACTCGCTTATTTGAGACATAAAAGTGTAATTGTGTTATTATTGTTAGAAAGGAAGTGTGTACTGTGTTCTTTTAGACCATGTAAACAGGAACATTTTACACAACCATCATCACAACATTTTCTATACAACATTTTCTGGTCCGTCGAGGCAGATGGTGGTAACGTTGAGTGCAGTGTGAATGATGTGGATAGAGTGGATAGAGCGGATGGAGTAAAGATAGTGTTGAGTGCAGTGGAGTAAATTGGATAGAGATGAACTTTCAGTTGGAGTGAAGATCTACTTCAAGAGTTGGACGTTGGACTATTGCTTTAGTTAAAGGATCTTTTGCTTTAGTTGTTCAGGTACGATATTTCTAGTTTATTAAAAATGGATCTAAAAACATTGTCTATAAAAAAGAGAGTTGCCAAGAGTAGTCTTACTAGACTAAGAGAGAAAATTCTGGGGAATGTTGACGATTCAGATAGTGTGCAACTTGATCTTTACCGTTCGAAATTGGCTGCAATTGCTAATGAATTAAAGGAAGTCTTTGATAGACTGTTTGATATTTGTAAGGAAGACAAAATAGAACAATATACAGGTATACCTCGACTTACGTCGTTTCGAGTTACGTCGTTCCCGATTATACGTCGTTTGTCAAAAAAGTATACGAAAAAATAAAAATCAAGTTTAAGTCATTTTATTCGACTTTACGTCCGTCCGCCACAAATATTGAAGTCGTAATATCACTAGAAAAGTGTTTAAAGCACATAAAATCATATTAAAATATACACATTTACAAGTATGTACTGTATTTACAGTACAGTACATGCATTCGTAAATTTATTTGTTTGTAAGCTTAAAATAGATTCTTATTAACCATATATTATTAAAAATGCATTAATAAATAAAATACAGAACTTATAAAATTTATAGTTTAGCCTAGTGACAAGTAGATTCGGAGACAAGTAAATTCGACTTACGTCGTTTTTTGACTTAAGTCGTTTTCCTGGAACCAATTACCGACGTAAGGCGAGGTATACCTGTATTGTGGAAAGTCAAATAACACAAGATTTGATTGATTAGTTGATATTAGTGATAGATAGAACAAATCTAAAATTGGAAAATATTAATAGTATCTCCAACGTTGATAAAGCTAGTGAAATATCAGATTTAAAATTACTTAAATTGACATTGCCCTCATTTAGTGGAAGTTTTGAGGAATGGCTGCCATTCAGTGACTTGTTCCAAGCAGCTATTACAAACAATGGAAAGTTGTCAGGTGCTCAAAAACTACAGTATTTAAAGTGTTCATTAAGAGGAGAAGCTTTAAAAATTATACAATCCCTATCCATTTGTGATCGAAATTTTGAAATTGCATGGGAACTACTTTCCCAATGGTATTCTTGGAAAAGAGAATTGGTAGCTTCGTTAATTAAGAAGATATTGAGTTTGCCAACATTAAATTATGAAAATGTGGCACAGATTTTAAATACAGTCGACCCCTCTTATAACACGGTAGATACGTTCCGTTCTTTATGAATCAATTTTGTACGATTCCTTGCCAATCACAGCCCGGCACGTATGCACTTTACGGACTACGGCTGTTTGAAAGGTTTTCTTCCATAAAATTAATCTATTCCTAGACTAATTTGACTCAAAATTTCCAAAATACATATATTTTTTTGGGAATAATCCATATAAACTATGCTATAAACAAAAAATTGTAGGATTACTTACCGAGTGTGCACTGTTCAACGTCGCCATTGCTTAAGCTTGTTTTCATCGCGGAGCAGCGCACCAAACGGTGGCTGCGATTTTTGATAAGTTATTTTTCTGCGAAAACTTCGTTTAATTATAAAATTATTAATTATAAAACTTTGTTGAACTTTGGAGACATCATTAATATAAATAATTTTTATGGCCGTTGAATAAGAAATATTTCTTTCACAAGAAATGTATAAAATTAGTGCTGTATTAGACTTACGGTACCTAATTTACATACTGTACAGACGATAGTAAACTCAACTTACTCGCCTAAACTCTCCATAGCATGGCACTGGACGGCGGAAAGTATATATATAATTATAATAAAGTTACAGTAAATTAAGTTAATATATAATTATATATACAGTACCTAATTTATATATAATTAATATATAATTATATGTACAGTACCTAATTTATATATAATACTGTACAGATGATAGTAAACTCAATTTACCTGCCTAAACTCTCCA